TTTGTCTTTTTGTTATTTCTCATGAAGCCTGTTCTACCATCCATTTGCTCAAGCCCATCAAGTATGTCACGGGCTGCTTTCCTTTGTCCTTCTTTCCCTCAATCTGTCCTGTGAATATCAGGTTTTCAAAACCCTCTTTCATTACATGCCCCAGAAATTTCAACTGCCTTTTCCTGATGTATAAGTTTCCTCTTCGTTTCCATTCTCTCCAAAACCTCGTCGTTGCTGACATATTCGGTCCATGGTATCCTCAACATCTTTCTGTAGAACCATGTTTCTGTTGTTTCAAGTCTCTTCTTTGAGGAGATTGTCCAATATTCGCTGCCATAGAGGAGGACAGATATCACGTAACAGTTTAATACTCTTTTCTTTGTTTCTAACGAAAATTTTCTGTCTCTTAATACTCTGCTTAGCTTTTGGAATGCATCTTTGGCCACCCCAATAGATCTTCGGATCTCAGTGTCGCACTTTCTATCCTCTGTTAAATTACTTCCCAGATATTTAAATTTCTGTACCGGCTGGATTTTAGTATCTCTGACCTGTAATTTGCATTTTGGGCTGACCCTTATGCTGATAACTATGCATTCTGTTTTTGTAGTTTATGCTTAGTCCTTTCATCTCGCTTTCCTTTGTTCTGTAGAAGATCTTGTAGTTTCCTTTCTGTGTCTGATATCAGCATCGTGTCATCTGCATTTCTTATATTGTTCAGATTGTGGCCACCAATTATTTTATACTTCTTTTTAAAATGATGTGGCTACATTTCCATCTCTGATAATATAGTTGGTTAAGAGATTCTTCGAGAAAACGTAAATTTCGTATATAGTACAATGATTTTAGTTTTACTATTTCCAATATAGTCGCTTTTCTTTTTTCTTGTTCTTGTTTTTTTTATTATTATTGATAAGCTTTTATCCATCATAAACTATACAGGTAATAAGAAAATCACAGTATATTTTTCTCGTACGAGACATCAGACTGTGGCCACCACTTATGAATCCTGGTAGGACTTCTAATTCTCTCAGAATTGCCTCGCTATATAAGTTGAATAAATCCAGTGCGAAGACACATACTTGTCTTATATCCCGTTCTTTTTTTTTGTATATCTGCTGAATTCATTTTCTATCCGTATGCAGTCGGCTTAATGCCAATATATATTCTTCATTATTCTAATATATTTCCCGAATATGTCGTAGTTACTGAACAGCTCTAACAGATCTTTGTGGAGTACTTTGCGTAGACTCTGAAAAACAGGTACACGTCCTTCAGCATTTGTATTGCTCTGTCTGATACCATTCTGAGCATAAATACCGCGTTTCTTGCTCCGGTGTCTTTGACGAACCCGCACTGTTCTTGTCCTATCTCTGGTCTGATTCTGCTGTACTCTCTATTCATCAGAATTTTTTTTATGTGGCTCATTAAGCTGATTGTTCAGTAAAGTTCACATTCGTTTGCGCCTAATTTCTTATGCAGTGTTATAAAAATAGATCTGTTTAGGTCTTCCGGTAATACCCCCACTGTTGTAAATTTCGTTTATTATTTCTGTGATCTTGTCTATGTCGAAATCCTCTCAGAGTTCGGTTTTTAATATTTCCAGTCTGTCGATATTTCTTTGTATTGCCGGTAGTTCTCTTTCGTCGTGAAAGAGTTCTCCTATATATTCGTTCCATCTCTAAATATTTTCTCTTTCACTAATATCAATGTTCCGTCCTTGGATTTTATGCAGCCTGTTGATGAGCATATCTTTTATCCTGTTAATTCTCTTATTTTTATGCATATCAACCATATTTGTGATACGTAGTCTTCCTATTTCTGTGTACTTTTCGTCGAGCCATTATTCTTTAGCCTGCCTGCACCACCACTCTCATTGCGTACTTGGGCATTCAGGTCTCCTGTGATAATTATAACTTCTTGTGATTTACAGTGAGCCTTGGCGTTGTCTACCATGGTTTAGAAAGATTAAAGTTTCTTCTTCCGTGCTCTGTGCTGTCGGGACATATATATATATAATAGATATGCTGAAAGACTTTCATTTCAGTTTTACTATGTTCTGGTTTGCATTTTCCAACTGTCCACAGTTGTTTAGGAATCAGTTCCGTGGAATTTTATCCCATTTACGCCGTTTATGCTAACAGTCGCTGGATGACGGTCAGGTGACACCTGTTGGAAATGACGCTCCTAACCGGGCGAGGTGTTAATTCCTATAGACTTAATCACCTTCGCGCCGTTAGGTTTCGTATTTTGTTTGATAAATGCCATGATAATTCTTGGGATTGATAGTGGGGTTGGTTACCGTTGCCTTGCCTTCTCCACCATGATTTATTGAGACACCGCCTCTATTTAGCTGGCCGTTGACTTGTCGGAGTTATTCCGGCCTTTGATAGTTCTTAGTTTTCTTCCTACTGGGCTGCTAAGAACCCCCCTCACTCGCATAAACATGGAATGGGGGTAGCCGGCTTAGTCGCCGTCACGACGGCAATAGCATTCATACTTTTTATATATATATATATATATATATATATATATATATATATATATATATATATTGCAAACAGACAAACTTTTATACGTACCTGTAAGCCGAGATAAAAAAAAAAGTTTTTGAATCATTGATTGTGTTATGCTATCTTTCCTACTTTCCTACTTACCTACATGACCTTGAAAATTAGCATATGAAATACGCAACGACATTAGCTATTATTATTATTACTACTACTACTACTGGTATCACTGCTATACTACTTATTTGCATATGGGTGCCTATTAAAATGATTTACTTTTTTGTAGGAGTTTTGTTGTCTTCCTGACATACTCAGCAAAGAAGAATTCGATGCAACCGGTAAAACCGAATATTTTCAGTCTAATTTTGCTACCGAATCAGAATTTGGAGCTAAAGCCAAAGATTGGTCTGCCCATGTTAGTTCCGGAAAAGAAAACATGGTATATGATTCTGACGAGGAAGACAACGTCGTAACTGAAATAGAAAATGACAAACAAACAGTGAACATCAGTAGAAAGAGAGAAAAAAATGCTTCATCCTTTATAGCAGACGAAAACAATATGTCTAACTCTAACAATATCGTGGAAAATCACTCTTCAAATTGTAGTAAAACGGAAAACAAAATGTCCGACTTGCATACTTTGACAGACGTTATTTCCGACGAGAATGAAACCAACGAATATAAAAAAGGCTGCAGAAAATAACGCACCAGACATTACAGATGGAACATTTGATGAGAATGAAGAAGCACATCCGGGCCAGGCAAGCAACTGTGTCGGCAAATAATCACAACCCTTACTTGAAGGTTCTAAAAAACCGAAAATTTCTTTTCTTTCTTTATGGTATCATATTTTTCAGCGTCCCCGAAGAAATAATTTACATCATGCTTCCGAATTACTTTGGTGATAATGGTTCGAGTCGATCTGAAGTGTCTTACCTTCTATCGATACTTGGAATATCCTCCACCATTTCCCGCTTTCTCATGGGTACCCTTGCCAACTCCCAAATCGTAGACATCTATGTTCTCTTCTCGGCACCATTTGGTATACTAGGCGTGGTAACTTTACTGTTACCATTTTATGTTCAGACATTTACGGGTCGAGTGATTTTTGTCATTCTCTTCGGATTGTACAATTGTTCGGCGTACAGTCTCCTCAATCAAATTATCTTGAGAATCACCGGAATTGATAATTTAACAGCAGGTTTTGGCCTTGCCATTTTGATAAAAGGCACAGTCGGAATTTTTGGTCCTCCATTGGCAGGTAAATATTATTCTGTTTTTTTTTTTTGTTTTTTTTTTCTTTGCTGGAGGTGTGAAATGTATGTCCATTTGAAGTGCTGCTCAGATTCGGAGTAACTGAGAGTGAAAAACATTTTCACTCTAAAATCGAATTTCCAATGTTTCTTTCGAAATAGTCCAGTTGGGCATGCACACAAGAAGCCAAGTGATTTTTTTAATCTAAAATTATTTACAATGTCCGTTTTGGCTATAATGTACTTTTCAAAATTCTTTCAATTTTGAATAGGACCTTCTATGTATGAGTTAAACGAAATAAGTATGTCACTATAATTCTATAAAAGTGAGCAGAGAGAATATATAAGACCAGGAACAAACAATTTTTATAAATATCATTAAAACATCTGAAATCTCATGATTCACGCTTGCTTCTGACCATTATTAAAGTCACGGAAAAACTGGAAACACCCAGTTAATAAATTATTCGAATTTTGAAAATAGAATAATAACGCCGAAAAATTTTTTCACTCCAGAAATATGGGAAAGTGTGTTTTTTTTAAATATTTTTAACACTTATATATATATATATATATATATATATATATATATATATATATATATATATATATATATATGCCCTTATAGCTAACTCTTTAGAGGAAGCTCAAGATTTACTCAACCATTTTTCTGCGGTATGCAAGACATTTAGCCTTACTATCGGCCTCAAGAAAACTGAAGTTGTTCATCAACCTTGCCCGACATCGAAGCAAATTAGAGGTGTAAAGCAGAGACCCCCTGCAAGTTGATGGAAAGAATCTCAAGTATGGTGGAATCTTTCAAATACCTCGGAAGCATAGTAAATTCAAATGCATCATTTGATGTCAAGATTGTTAATTGCATTGCAAAAGCCAGTGCTTCTTTTGGTTCGCTGCGTCATAGGTTGTGGGACGAAAGCTTTGCTTAGAGTGAAATAATTAAAAAAATAGTTTTACCGGGATGAACTTGTTCGAACTTACCTTGACATTTGTCCATATAACATTGTTATGATTATGAACAGTAAATTTATTTAAGTTAACATTTAAAGTTATGAAGTTGAAACAAAGCAATAATACATGTAAAATACTGAATGAAAACCACTCAGGATGATGTTATTTTTAATAGTTTGGAATTAAATTGGACAAATCAAGTATGCACTAAATGCATGCCTTGCTAAATCTTAGTTTTATGTGTGTGTTTAAATTCCTCCTTCAGACGCTATTGCATCATATGCTCAAGATTCAGATGCAAGTTTCTTCTTTGCAGGTAAGTTGAGTTTCATATTGGCGCAACACTATCTTTCTTTCCACCATTTCTCTTCTTTATTTTACTTTTTATTCAGCTAGGCTTAGATAGATAGAATTATAAATATACGAATATGTTTAAGAACGTGACCCTTATTAATTATGAAGCTAATTTATTTTTATTTCTTAATTAAAGTATCTGGGATTAAATTCTGTTAATAACGAACTGATGTCTTATTTCAATGACAATTTAAAACGGTTAAATAATTTGACATGGGATACCGAGGTAGTTTCTCGCATCCTATCGATTCCATATTCTTTGTTAATTTTACTGTGCCTTGGTTTGTTCTGTCATTCTAAAAAGAAATGAACTATTTTATTGACTAACCGTGGAATTTTTTATAAGAATTTTCACGCATTCTTGAAAATCAAGATCTGTTATAGCTTATTTGTCTTAATCTATTAAAAGTCAAGTAAAATTCAATAACATTTTATGAAAGTGAAACCTTGGTTTGGATGCTGAAATAGATTTTGCGTCAAGATTTTTTAAACAAGAAAAAAAGGAACGCTGTAACACTAAGATGGTCTACACAAGCTGTAGATAATATACAGGTAGTAATTATTCTCATTATGTTTATATCGTCTACATTTATATTCTTATAAAATCCCAAGATACATTATTATGCTTACATCCTGCTATTTATATTTTTCAGGAAGCATGTACATCATGTGTTTGCTTTCAATGGTTTTATTGGCTGATAAGACTGAAAAGTTTGTCACTAATGATGACAAATAACACCTACATACACCACTCCTACATATTCTGTATGTATATTCTCTCTCTCTCTCTCTATCTATCTATCTATCTATCTATCTATCTGCATATACCTATGTTCGAAGTGCAACTGCAAGATTCGTCGATCTACCAACTCATCAGGCACGAATTATTACGGTTTATCTTTTAGAAAAAATTCTTGGTCTCATGGGAGGAACGCTAAATTAAACGCAGATTCAAGGCTCAAAGTTAATATAAATTTAATTTATTATTGGGGTGTAAATACAAAATGCAAAATATAGGTAGGGGGCTATTGTAAAAGAAAAAAAGAAACAGATGCAAGCTTAAAGTTTAAAAGAGGAATGCCAAATAATAATATACATTAAAATGGTTAAAGGGGGTGGATAATCAATATGTAACATAAAATATGTAAAGGGTATGTAATATTTGGATAATATATCTATCCAGAATTAAAATACTTTAAAAGAGTTTTCTTTCTGTTATTAAAAGCACAAGTTCATTTCGTTTATGAAGTAGATTTTGCTAATTAATATTTTTATGGGTGAATCTTTTTCCCAGTAAACACAGGTTGCATCGATCGCCGCTGCTGGAAAAGTTGTAGTTTGGGCGACGAAATTCCAATTTACTACCGGTATATAGTCATGTGTTTTAATATCCCAGTAAAATTTTGAGAGTGCCATTAACAGATCTTCTGTGATTGACGGCTAGAAATTGTCGATGTCGAATTGCACGAAAGTGCATTTGTTTTTATTTTTTATATTAGAGAACCAATTGCTAGCATCTTTAGTATTCTTCCATTGCTTAACTCCTGTGTCATTCCTTGTGTATTTGCAGGCTCGCTCTAGTATAGTCTTGCTGATTTGCCTATATTATTCTTGGAAGGGTTAAGCAATCGAAACTGCGGTTTGTTGGGGAAATTATCTTTACTGTCTTTAACGGTAATAAAAAAAACTTAATTCAACAGATTTTTATTACTTAAACGTTATTTTTTAGTGGATACTCGTATTTGAGCAGACGCTCCTTTTATTTATTAAACAGTATATTTATTCATTTAGGTCTACCGGTCCGAATATTCGAGAAATCCTATTAGAGAAAAATATCGTCAGACCGTATTTGATCCCGCGTTCTCCTTGGTGTAACTGGTCATGAGATCTTGGCTACAGAGTGCGTAGATGAAGAAGCAAAGTTGAAAAGTGTCATTAAACACAGATTTTTCTTTGACTCTTGAAATAGTCATATCTGCTCAGTTTCATATCCGAACACAAAAAGAGAAACTTGTAAAGAAAAGGGGTGGATTTTTATTTATTTATTTATTAATCCGACAGATTTTTATTATTTAAACATTAGCGGACCGCAGGTTCGAATCCTGTCGGATAGAGCGTATATTATTCTCTAATAGGATTTGTCGAATATTTAAGCTGGAGACGAAAATAAATAAAGTAAACAGTGTGTGTGTGTGTGTGTGTGTGTGTGTAATATTTTCAATATGATAAACTGGAATCAGTAAACTCTTTACCATGTATAACATGCACAACCCCAAAGGAGATGCAAATCGACTCTGTGCCTGCTTAGACCAGATGGCGGTAGAGGAATGAGCCAACTACTGGATCGGAGCAAAAGACGATATTTAGAAATATGTACATTGTCCATTCAAACACGTATTCCATCTTCCCAAAACATCTTTCTGGGTGGTTAACTGCGCTACGCGTTTTTTACAACAGCATTTTCACTTCAAATTGTTCCAAAAAATCCCTTTCTCATCGTCATATGAGATATATCGAGTATCTCTGTGATGTCCCGTGTCCGTGTGACGTGAGATAATTTTTAATTTCCGTTTCGATTTGGTCATCATTAACGACTTTGGTAAAAGTGATTGATGACAAAACGTGTTGCGAGTTAATCCGCCCTTGACACACACAGTATCAACAGTAACAGAAATAGTAGTAGCCAGAAAGCAGTAGTATTAGTAATAGCCGAGCTGCATCTTTATAAACTTATGCTACCAATAGAAACTTTTTCTTTCCTTTTGCATAGAGTACTTTCTACAGACGGCATTGTAGATAATACGTTTATTTCAAAATGCACATGCTGATCAACGGAAGACATACCTTTCCACAATATAGCTTTTTTTATTTCATTTCTATGAAATAAATGTTTTATAAAATTTCATTGTCTTGCATTGTGTTTTCGTTATGTATCATTTTTTTTAAAACATGTCAGGTGGATTTAATATCTCCTCGTGAGCCAAAAGTATTACGTCATTGGTGACCACGGCCTTCGAATGAAGAACATTTTTTGTGAACAACGAAGATATACTAAGGCAAATCAATTTTCCCCAAAACTTGCCAAGTAATTCTCCAGCAGTTTAAACGTGGAAAGTTAAATACACTTTTACTGAGACGAAGACTTGACGAAGTGAGACGTATTTTTCCATATGGAACTCTTTTGTCCATGTGAGAAAAGAAACAAAAGAAAAAAACAATAACAAAGAAAAAAAAAAAGAGTACTACGGATCTCCAGACCGTTTGGAAGACGCGTCGACTCGACAGCATCCGTTTTCGACAATTTTCCTGTCTTTGTGGCGAACGACCCAAAACAGTTGGTAAGCGGTTTTACGTAAAAATATTTCTTCACAAAGTACAAAAATTATCTGTCGAAGGGCTGGCGCGTACTTACATCCGACATCCACCACCTGACCCGTGGAGGAAGCATGACTGGGAAATCCGGAGAGTCCTTTAATACCATCTTTGTCTTATCGACATTTGCTTTTTCTACCTAAGTTTATATACGTTACAAATTAAACGAAGAACACAACTGACTTTTAAACGATGAAACATTTTTGCGGATTTGACGTAATTCTGGGGCCTTATTTTGTCCAAATTGTTATATATATATATATATATATATATATATATATATATATATATATATATATATATATATATATATATATTTGAAGTGTTAACCTTCCATATCTCGCCATCCCTCAGCCTTGCTCTTTGATCTGAAACATTATCTCAAAAGGATAGAGCTAGGAACCATGGCAACACAAATTTCACCCACCTATTCGGTGAAAGTAGTACTTACAATGTTAAGCCAACCACAAGCAAAATACATTAAATAAATAAATTATAACAAATATATTTTTATATTTAAATTTTCTTTAATTATTAATAATTTTTTGATACTTTTAATAATAATTATCTAATATTTTTATTATTAAATGGATATGATTTTAAATTAAGAATGATGATTATCTCGTGAATAAGCTGCATTTTTATGAATAAAGTTTACCTCGTCAATACACTATTTATTATTTATTCATTTACTTTTGAATTAGGATTGCTTAGATACGTTATTTATTTTTGAATTAGGATTCATTAAAAAAAACATTTTTGATATCCAAAATGCGAAAAATAATAAAACTGATATTTTCTTTTTCTTACAGCCGATATACTTTCTTAAAGAAACATTCGTTAATTCTTAATAAGTAAAAATAATAAAACTAAGTACATCCACAGAAACGCGATATCTAAGGTTTAAAATGAATTTTTAAAAATAAAATGTTCTCTTGGAGCTTTTATTTTAGTCTTAATTTCAAGGTAATAAATTTAATTTAATTTCTAACAAGCAAAAAACGTATTACTTTAAAACACTTAATAAAAAATAAAATTTTAACAGAAATTTCATTCGCTATTTTTTTCTTTTGCAGTTGTTGCATCAAGAAAGATTCTAATAAAAATTAAAAGTAATAAATTAATTAAAACTAAAAATTAAAATCAATAGACAATAACTAAAAGAATAGTTGGTAAATAAATTCTTCTTTGAAGTCCACAGTACCTTTAACTTTACTTTTTTTTGCAATAATGAAACACAATTTCTATGAATTCTCAAATGGAAAAGCTTGAGGCAAAAGTTTTCACACCTATGTAAAAAGTCTATACTTTTGCACTAGTCCGTTGATTTTGATTTTTCACGTCTCTCTTTGTTTTATATAGAAGTGAGAAAAGGAATGAGCTGATAGTAAAAGAAAGGATAAAGATATAAAAGGTGGTGGAGAGCTTCAATGCCATAACATCGAAGAGTAGTAAAAAAAAAAAAGATGTTTCTTGGATATTGGAATTGTCCAGTTTTCATTTCATAGTCTTAGAAAAATTTCTCTCAGATTTCACTGACTAATTAAAGGAAAAATTATCCACAAAGACTTTGCTTTAAAAAAATCATTTCTGCTCGAGGCTATGGAGGTATGGTTCTACAGAAGAATGCTAAGGATACCATAGACCGAGCATGTGAGCAATGATGAGGTTTTAGTGTGGATGCAAACAAGAATGAAGCATATACTTAACACCAGGGAGAGGTAGCTAAAATTTCTGGGACACGTAATAAGAAAGAAAGGATTGGAGTATCTGATACTCACAGGGCGGATAGAGGGGGAGGGGACAAGGGAAAGCAACGAGTGATATACTTAGCGAGCTTCAGCAAGTGAATGAAAGTACAGGGTTTGGGAGAAGTAGCAAAAGAACAAAACATATTGAGAACTATAAGGGATAGGGGAGAGGGAGGTGGAGAGCCATGATAACCTACCTCCTGTAGGGACACGGCGCATAAAAAAGATAGATAAAAATTTTGCATCTCTTTGTGGTAACAAAAAACGTTCTGTCGGATTTTAATGAAACTTCCAGGACTTATTCAAAATGAATGAAAATATTTTTAAAATATTTTAGAAAATATTTTTTTAATAAAATATTGGTAAATATATATATATATATATATATATATTTGAACAATAAAAAATATTAAAAAATTAAAATCTTCAGACACACTGGGTTGTAGATTAATTGTTATGGAGTGATTTCACAGTGGAGGCTTGTATTTGTACTAAGTCGGTCCTAAAATAGGTTCGACGTACAAAACGTTAGGAACTTGATATAATAGGTATGACGCAGAGAAATCTAGTTGTGGTCGCTGATACTTTAGTATCCGACTAACGGTCGTCTGGCATCGACTGGCTGACCAACTCATTGAGCGACTGACTCGTTACTCTTACTACTCCTACTTATTATAGGTGGGAGAGTCTATTAACTATAGAATAGGTGTGTTCCACTATAACATTAATATTCTTTCGTTTTTATTATTATTGTTTCATTTAGATTCTTCGACTAGTTTCGGCCAAAATGGCCATCATCAAGAGAAGAAATATTTCTGCTTGCTGGTAGCAGTGAACTACAGAAATGAATATATATATATATATATATATATATATATATATATATATATATATATATGTGTGTGTGTGTGTGTGTTTATATATATGAAAATTTCTCATAGTTAACCTGTAGAAAAGACAATATTTATAAATATAAATGACAATAGGAAAACTGTAGTTATTGCTGACGCGTTTCGTCCAATGGACTTTCTCAAGGCAAAAAACGAAATGAATTTATTTAAACAAAGTAACTAATAATAACAAAAACTAAATGTCCTTAGCAACTGGAAGAATTTAGAGAACGCTATTTTCATACTGTTAACTGAAAATTACGTCAATTACTGTCACGTGTGGAGATATTGTTATTATTCTTGTGTTGACGGATTCAACCATTTTCTTTTGATTTCACGATATTGGTGTGTACGTTTGTTTGGGAGAGTAGTAATTCTGTTAAGAAAGGTGAAATACGGAAAAAGTCTGGGCGTACATTAATATTTGTGTAATATTCAATGGCGGCACTCTCTAGGATTTTCCTTCCTAGTGAGTTATTTTCTTTTTTTATGAAGGCTTAAAAAAGTAATATACAAGCATTTCTTAACGACGTGTCCCGTTTTTCTTTTATGTTTATTGACGTATTGATTGACTTTTAGCTGCCTCTCCCTGATGTTAATGCTTTATGAAATTTTCATCTCTTCAAAGAATTACAGAGCGTCAAACGACTCTTAAATCACGTAACCTTTTAAAGGATAATATCATTTATGACTTACCATAGTTAGAAATTGAACGTCTATAGTCTAAAAATTTTTTTAAAAATATTTGGGTACAAAAGACTGTTATGAGCGTTTTTAAATTTTTTATTCAACTTTTCACTTAACAATATCAACAAACCGCCAACTTGAAGTAATGCAGAATTTTATACGATTTTTAATATTATAAATTATTTAATTAAAATTTTTAAAAATGAAAACATTTCTTGCAAAAATTAATTATTCATCCAAAAACTTTTCTATTTAAGACGATAGTGTCCTTAATAAATCTTATTTATGAAAGCAATTAAAATGATTTCTGATTAAATAATATCATAGTTTTATTGCATTTTTTTTTATTTTACAAATCACGGCAGACTTTTGGTGAAAGGGGTAACTGTTTTACAAAAGAAATTGATGATTTAGTTTCTCCAACGAGTCCTTCTTTTAACTAATAAAAAAAATACCCGCCCTAAAAATTGAATTTCTCGAAATTTCGTGAAATTAAATAAGTGGGTGGTAACATACGTAAAAAAACATATTTTTTACCAAGATTTACTAAAAAAAAATTTCAAAATAATTTTATTAGTTTCTGAAAGTTTCATTAAAATCCGACAATTATTTGATTTCCACGTCATTGTGTTTTTCACTGGAAAAAGCGCAAAACAAAAAAACTAATCGTCGGCCGCTGACGTAAACAAAACAAGATATTTCACCAAAATTTCGACCGTACTAGAAAGGATTAAAAAATTTCCAAAAATAATTAAAAAATACTTTAGTCTTTCCTCTTAATAATAACATAAACATTTTGATGACAAAACTTTGTTTTTATTAAGTTTGAGACCTTTTTTCATCATGCTGTTCTGATTTATTTTTTTCATGAAAAGGTGGTGGTACCTAGATTTCAACTGTAAAATCATGAAACTTATTTGCCAAACTAATCGTTTTCTGCCGTAAAATGCAGAAGACGAGATGCTTCACATTACTTGGATGACTTTGATATATTTTGGTATGATCAATGTTGTTGATAAGACATTCGGAATATTTGAAACGTTATTTTAGACAAAAGATTGATATAAATGTTTTTAATTTTAGTATAATTATATTTTATATCCTTGGGTTGGCTTCGTGGTCTATGGTTCAAGTCTGTGAAGGGATAGACAAATTCTGATACAGAAACTGCAGATGAAATATCTGATCATTGGAAATGCCTCCACTTTTACACTACAGCGATGACTTTCTTCTTCAATTCTGTCTGCGGTTTTCTTAAGGAAATCCATTGGTAGACTTTCTGACTTCATGTCTCACTTTCAGCAGTTTCTATTGTCGGTATTGTATGTTAAAAAAAAAGTCTTTTTTTTTTCGGGAATCCTTGTATATCTTTCCTTGTCGACTCTCTATTTGCCCGGCCACAAAACAGTTCATCTAAAAGAAAGATTTCTAGTACATTATATACTTTCACTTACGACACACGAGTTCTTCAGTGTAAATATAACATCCGGAGAATAAACACAATATATGTAGCAGACATCTTGCGGATTCTCCTCTTTATACAGAGGATGATGATATCCCAAGCTTTGTTTGAACAAACGAATTCATTTTTGTTGTTAATGATGTAACTATTACCATACAGCTGATAGATTTTACAGGAAGGCTGTAGAATCGATCGGCTGAAAAATGGTGATTTCAACATGATCAGCACAAACATACAATACCTGAATTGCAAATTAGAATGCACTTTTGATGTACTTTCAATTTTAATCCAGTGACATTCATTTTTGAATAGAAATTGTAGCGTTTGCTACAAGATTTTGTAATGATTAGAAAATGTAAAAATAAAATTTTTGTCGGCCTTTGAAGCACTTATCACACAAAATGTGACTTAACTGAATTTTTCATTAATATGACATCATAAGTGTAATGAAGGATCTGTGGAAAAAAGGTTTCCCACCATTATGGATATTATTGTTATATCCATGCTATAATAATACCTTTTTTTTACGAACGGAACCGAATATCTGGAAGAAAAGGAATGACAAACATGCTTTGTTCTTTGACAAACATGACATGTTCGAAATTATATATACATATTTACATTTGCCTCACGGCAAATAAATCACATATTTACAAAGATCACAAAAAACAGACTGGAAATGAATAACAAAACCGTTTTTAAAGTTTGATTTTTTTAATGCTTAATATACAAACTGGCTGTCTATATTAATTAAATTGGGGACGATATGGGACAAATACTGGTAGAAGTAAAAATGTATAAAAGAAAGAGTTTTCGAATGCCATTGTTTTAATTTTCAGTTTTGAGAGCAGTCACACGCACACACATCTGGATCTTTAAATATTAAAAACAACTACAGGAGTAGCAGATGCTCCGAGACTAGTCCGAAAGATCCTATTAAAAAGGAACTGAAAATCAGTTGAAGAGAAGATTAACCAAGTGACGGTCTTACTGAAAACAGCTTGAATATTAAAAAGAATGCTGAGTTATTGAGGGAATTTTCTGTTGTTTAATCCCCATTGTTACAACCATTCAGTTTGATGCTTCACATCGTTAATGGCTTAATAAAATGTATATTTTCTTTAACTCAATAACAGTTTTAAAGTTGTACTCTCTCATCACTACATCTAGTGATTACATTGTAATCTCTGACCTTTCTTCTCTTCACATATATAATAATAATGCTGCTGCTAGTGGTATCAGCACTAACATCAATATTATCATTGAAAATACTGCTACTATTAATTTTAGAGTTCATACTTTTCATAAAGATATCATCTGATCTAACATCCCTACTAAAATCTATCTCTTTTTTGTTGATTTTACAATGAAAACATCACAAAAATCATTATTATTAAAATCAAATCACTGCACTTCCCTCTCTTCACCCATTACGAATAATGAAAATTGGTAACCAAATATTTTGCAAACAGGATAAATAATTCTGTTGAGAAATCTTTGAGAATTAGCTAAGGCAACTTGAAGAAGGCTGCAACATGCACCTGGCAAAGCACAATGATCAAAATAACAACTATCAGGATACTCATCCCCCCTCTTCCTTTCCTAATTTCATACCGCTGAGGAGGGCCAGAGAATGCACTAACTGAAATGTTGAATTAAAAACTACAAAGATGGAGGCGCTAGTTTAAAAATTAAAGTGCAATATTTTATTCCAGAAAAATGCATGCAGCTCATAAAAGAGGACAAGGCAATCAAACAAATATTTATTTTTGTTTTGCCAAATGAATTGTGATGTACGATAAACGGAAACCTTAAGTTAAATGAAAATGAGCAGCAAATGTTTGTGTGGCTGTGTGTATATTCATCCTTAAAATCAAAATAATGGAGATGTGGAGGGAAAAGGTAAACAAATCAGAAAATGGAATCGGATACGTCGGTTCAAATCGAACTAATGCGCTTGCGAAAGACATCAATCCATCTCTTTCCTACCGACCGGATAGAGTTAAAACAGCAGAGTAGACTGAGATCTGTCGATGTGGGTAGCAATCAGTCAAAGAGAAAGAGAACTTTGAATCTAAAACCGTTGAGAAGACAACAGTAGAATAATCCACTACCATTCCCAAGAACAGTCATAACTATGCATTGTTTAAAGATAAAAAGAAAAAGGAATATGTGCAGAGCAATGATCGCCTTCTTCATGAATGGAAGATAACATTTAATGAAGTGTAAAAGAAACAAAAACTCCACACGGTAAGACCTACAATGTATAATGCTATATTTAATGCATTATTGTGAAAATGTTGATCGAGTGATGTGACTACAAAAAGCCCGGAATTCAATTTTGTCACTGCAGCTGTGTGTCACAGCTGCAGTGACAAAATCCTGACCCCACTGGAACGATGTACTCTACAAGACCGGCCGTTGGTCCTGTCCTGGTCTAGTATTACAGATTCAATCAAAGTGTCCGGTTTACAATGTCGATTCGATTCCACTTTCCACCAACGTTTTGATTTTTTGATCCTGTTGAGCAATTAATAAATCGTAGATCCCGAAAGATTGAGCTGCAAGTTCGTTGGGGCGAGGATCGGGCCAAGCAGAAAAAATCAAATATGAACATGTCGATTCGAGTACCAAAGAAAAGTTTATGTATGTGTATATAAGGAAGAAATTGGTACAAAAAGAATAATGCTTCTTTTACAAGAAAGTAGTGTACATGAAATAAAGTCCAGAAAAAAAGAACAATATTGCAAATAATTCTGAAAGGAGAGAAGTAGTTTTCGGGTTCACCCTTTTTGTTCTAAGTAGTTGTCGTAATTATTTCACTATCAGGTTATAAGATGGGGGGTCACTGGCAGTATTACACCAATATTACAGATAACGTGTGTTCCCTTCCTCCCTTATTACAGTAGCAAGCAGATGCTTTCACTCTCACTGCCTCTCTCTCTCTCTCTCTCTCTCTCTCTCTCTCTCTACTGCTTGTCTACTCACTCCACCCAGCTCCAATCGACTTCGACTCCGACTCACTTCACCCAGCTCCAATTCCAACTTCAACTATTTGTTTTCGCACAAACACGCACCGAAATAAACTCGGTGGCAGCGACAAAAACCCGGGATGTTGGTAACTTTGAATACAACCTGATTACTGACCTCTTCCCCTTCATGACTAAATGAACTGTCTCTTCTCAATTGGTATTCCATAGTTCATATAAACACTATTGTTTTGACATTTTATATTAATAATGCTGCCGAATCACATATTTTCTGGGCACAAACTTCACCACAGATTATCTTCCTCATCCAAAAACAAAATTCTGTATTACTATAATTATTAACATTTCAAATGTGAACATGGCTCTCTGCCACACAGCAACATCATATGACTTGTTTGTTTGTATGTGTCTGTTTCTTTGTGCGCGTGCGTGTGTGTGCCCGTTGATAAAAAAAATAACGAAAATTCATTGTTGGTTATTTTTATTTACTGTTTCAATATTTGTAATAATTTTTCTGATTTCCGGTTCATATTTTAACTATATCTTTCTATGTCTAAGCATTTTCGGTTAAAACTGTTTATTTCTAAAGATTTTCTTTGTTATTTGTCATATATAATCAACAAAGAACTTGGTTTTCAGTTAAACGGACATAAATGAAAACTTTCTGCTCAAATACACTTAATATATATATATATATATATATATATATATATATATATATATATATATAAAATGTGAAATAATATGTTAAAAATAAAAAAGACATTATGAAGAAGAAAGAACAGGAAAATAAGGGTCGGGAAGAGAGTTCCGCAAGCCAGAATAGAAAATGTTAGCATAAGATTTATGGTTACGTCTAGTCATTTCAAATGTAAAATAAAGAGGGTTTGTTGCCAATCAAGTATTGCGCTTAAATTCATAAAGTCGAGGTACCAAACTTCCTGAGGTCACCTCAGACTAATTAAGAAGCGGGGTTGTGGACACAAACAATTGCATTAGCAGCTCAAATATTCTCGATGCCGAAAAATTCGGATGCCTCCTCACTGGGTTTCCCATAGGCGGACAACATGACGTGGAGGCACAAGATTTAGTATGCACCTTCTCTTGCCAAATGGCAGAAATATAGAAGAAGAAAAATACTTTAGAGCTTACGCCAATTACTAAAACCAAATCTGCTGTCGGAGTGGGAAAGCATGTCCCTTCTGTATAGGTGACTTTATCCACCAGACAGCCGGCAACGTCTGGGGAAGATCACCACAAATCTTTCTTCGTGAAGCCAAGTCCCAGCCTGAAGATCTGGGCTTTTCGAAAGCTGTCCAACAGTTTTTAGTATGAATAAAATATAGTTATATCTATAAAATAAAATTTTAATTGACATCTTTTAAATAAATCTTTGAAATTTTGAAAATCCAGATAACATGATTGCCAAGCAATCACGATTTTTGGTAGCCACAAATAGAATTAGAATTAGTTTATATAGCTACTTACATGGCCTATTTTCTCTGTTAATCGAAACTCTTTGCAAGATATGTGTTTCAACTCCAGTATTAAAATACGTTAGGGCGTCTACGATCTTCTCGTATTGCAGGGAGAATAATACTAAGAAAACTAGTAATTCGGTTAATATACTAACTACTTGAAATTGCCTACTTTCATTTTATGTGGTGAAGCCGAAAAGCAGCAGTTTGACTCGTGATAGTCTGCCCAGATATTATGATACTTGACACAATGTCTGTTTGTTACGTGATAAATCCCATCATATTTTACAGATACTCTGCAAAACTGACAAACACAAATATACACACACTATATACATATATAAATTCAAACAAGTTTCATTGGAACCAACCAATAATGTTTGTTTTTCTTCGATGTTTTTTTTTTCAGTTTGCGTATTATTTGTCACATATTCGGATGAAACTTTATTCGGGTTTTCTTTCGAGCAGATTCATTATTAAGAAAATTAATGTTATCAGTGTCATTCTAAAAGATTTTGTGTGTTTAATCCTTACATATATATATATATATATATATATATATATATATATATACTAAGCGGGTTTTCATGGACAAATTTCGAAATTCTCAATCTGAATAAATAAACTCTCAAAAATGTACGTGTGTCTCATATTTGCGTCTACCTGAATTTCAGTTATGCAAGTACAGCTCAAGAATCCGGAAAATTCCAAACTCCAGACCAACCCAATTTTTATGTATTTCTATCCGAAATTAGTTGCTGACATTTCCACTCGAGTATTGGTGCAACACAATCTTTGGCTTTGTACAAAAAGTAAACTAATTTGTCTTCATTGATCTATTCATATGAGATACCACGCTGTAGTGTAATGTTTAACAAGCTAGTCTTGTAAGCCATAACGCTAATGCAGTGACTTCAGTCACCACTAGGAATCAAGAAAGTACGAAGGTAATAAACTGACTTCTCATTTTAACAGATACATTTACTAAAATTACACAAAAATATCTTTGAAATAATAAAGAGTAAATTTATTCAATAAAATCACTATTGGTTTCAACTACGGCCTCCAGACGGCCTTTGAATCTCCTGTAACTCTTCTGTGCGGCCTTCAGTTGGTGAATGCTGCCATAAGCCTTGCCTTCACTTCATCTTTGGATCTTTGGTGTTACAAGGTGTCATACTGATCTCTCACTCAACTCACCCTACACATAATAACTAAGGGGTTTCAGTCTGGGAAGTTAAGTGGCAGATGTAAGGAGTGAAGTGGTCGCAGAAATTATCAGAGTCATGACTGAGTTCTCCTGCTTGTGTGGCATGGTGCAGAGTTCTGCTACGTGACATAGGTTCTTCTAGCAGCCACCCTCTTGACCCAGAGCAGTACTACCTCCTCAAGGCACTTGATGTAGGCCTCCGTGTTGAGTCTGAGGCCCTCACCAACAAATTCTGGAGTTCTTTTCTTATCAGAACGGTGAGAGTCAGTTTCCGAGCTGCCGTACTTTTGTAATTACCATTAGATTCATCTATTTCCGAATCCTCTATACTGTCCTCAGATTGACACCCAAACACTGTGAAATGTTAGTATTGGAACTTCCGGTGCAAATACCAAGCAGTACAGCATGCCGTTTCCAAGTTTCTGGAGGAATGAATTGCGTCATGGTGATTTTTTTCTTACGGACGGTGCCAACTGACCCTACTATATTGGGCAGTTCACAAAATCAATAACAAACGCGCATGCCTGAAATTAAAATATAAAATGGTGACAATTTACCCATCGAACCTGCACAAGATATTTCCTGAAGTTTATTTGCATGAAGTCATTATCTTTCTTTTACTTAAACAGATACTATCATGAAGCAATTGATACATCTACACCTGCTGAGACAGGTTGACCTATTATGACGTCTCAATTACTCTATAGCAACATAAATATAACTAATAGAAAACATCTTCAAAAATAAAATTTTATTTCAACTAGAATGATAAAGATGGACAGCAGTTGGTCTTGGGTGATAATGCTGATGGCTTTTGGGGTTCAATTTTCCTGTGGAGGGCTACAAAACACAGCTGGATTTATACGTTACACTTTACTGCAAAATGCCGACCCAAACGAGACCCGGTACATTACTTGGATAACTTCGATTTATGCTGGTATGGTCAATGCTGTTGGTAAGGAATTCAGTATCTTTTAAACAGTATTTTAAATAAGAGATAGATATTAATATATATCATTTTAATATAGTTATATTATAATATGGCTTGGTTGACCTCATGAAGATGTAGGGCTCCAGGTCTGTTGAACGTCCACCGACGGTTGATGATGCTTACACATGATATGATTTTTACATAAAACATATTTGATAAATCGTATCAGATGTACTGAGAAAAAATTCAGTTTTATGAGAGAGTATCTTTGGAATTTTGCCTCTTTCGTATACGACATTACAAACTAAACATTTTTAAAGCATTTCTCGGCAAAATATTTTCTAAAGTACAGTAGTTTATTTTTAAAAAATATCAAGTGTTCTCGAAAAAAAGATATATTTATTAAAATAATTTTATTATTAAAATTAAATGTAATTAACATTTTGTTATGTCGTGTATCCTGCTAAGTAAGCCTTCTACCTCTGTTCTAGTTGGTGTCCATTTATCATATGAGCTACCTGCTCATATGCAAATTATACTAATTTGCATCTCACTACATCTCCCTATAACAGAGGGGCCTTATGCCGCGAGTACTTCTTGTACTTCTTCTTGTGCCCTCCTGAACATCTTCCTTTATCTCTCTCCTTTCCCTTGGAGATCTAGATCTATCACGTCTTTCCCTATAATCGAATTGTTCCTCTTGCATACTCTGGTCTTTCTCTTCTAACTTGTCCCATTCTACTTCTTCCTCTTCTAACTCATCCCTCTCTACTTCTTCCTCCGCAGTTTCATTCTGCATTAACTCTTCTGTTACGTCAATAATGGGCATCTCTGAAGGCATTTCCTCATCCGATCCTTCTCCTTGGGATCTTATTTGGTCAGCATGAGCTAGAACACTGTTCCCATTTTCTTTATTTAATATTGCAGTATTATGTCCTTTCTGCATACTAAATTCAAAGCTGACTCGGGTTGCATATTCCTATTTCTTTTGTACCACATCTTTTGATTTGTGGCATATGACATAGTCAAAGGGGACCTTAATTGTCTGCCCATTAAGGTAGATGGACTTTCCGGCCTGCCTGCATGTGGAATTGTTCTGTAACTTAATAGTAATCTTGGTAGGAAAGCATCGATTTCCTCCTTCTGTTGCGAGCATGCTTTTTGCCCCTTCTTTACCGTCTGGACCATCCTTTCCGCTGCCCCATTACTTTGAGGGTGGTAGGGAGAGGTCTTGTAAGGTCTGCATCCTATTTTTCTTAGCCATTCATGCAAATCAGCATCCACAAATTCTGGTGCGTTATCAGTCACCAATGTTCTCGGTGTCCCATTCCTCGAAAATATCACTCTTAATATTTGCTTTACGGTGGTACTTTTTTTTATCAGGTACTCTCACCACTTCAGGCCAACCTGAATATGCGTCTACTAATATTAATAATAGTCCTATCCCATTGACATAGGCATGGTCCATGTGTACTCTGCTCCATGGTTCTACTTCTCAGGGCCATACATGTATTTTCTTTTGCTTAAAATTCCTGAGTTCTGTGCATTTTTTTGCATCTTTTTTACGTAGTCTTCTACGTCTCTTGAGTACCCCGGCCACCAGGCTTCCAATTTTAATCTTCTTTGCGTAGCTGCCACTCCACAATGTACGTCATCGTGTACACTTTTTTATAACCTGTCTCCTCTGTGTTTCTGGGGAACTGCCAAGTCTCCATTACATATTATCCCGTTTTCTATAGTCATTCTATGTCTAATTTCTTTGAATGGTCTTTTCAGCCATTGAACAATTTCCCCCAGCGATTCTGTTTTATCCTCGACATTATTCTATTTAACACTGGGTCATTTGTAGTTTCAGTAGCCATTTTATCTACAGATATTACATCGGTTTCTACAAGGTGAAAGAATGTGTCTTCAAATTCCTCGTCGTTTTTGTCCTCCTCTCTATAAAACCTCAATCTAGATAAGGCATCAACGTGCGGTATCGTATTCCCTTTAACATATTCAATGTCAAAGTCGAACGCCATCAGTCTAATCGCCCAACGTAATATTCTGGACGTTGTAACTTTCGGTAGCTCTTTTCTTGGGTTGAAAATAAATTCCAGTGGTCTGTGATCACTTTTCAACAAGAATTTTTTCCCATCAAAACTGTCTTTGTTCTATCCGTTGTCCACACTATGGCTAGTGCCTCCCTTTCTATATTCGAATAATTGTGTTCAGTTGTTAATCTCCTCGATAAGTACATTATGGGATGCCCATCTTGTGACAAAATACCAGATATGGACTGCTCACTAGCGTCAGTAGTTAGAGTTATGTCCTTCTTAGGGTCAAAAATTTGTACTATTGGCTTTTTTGCCAGAATCTGTTTTAAGTTTTCAAAGGCTTTCTGTTGGTGTTCTAACCAAATGAATTCCACTTTTTTTTTCTTAACTTAGCAAATGGTTCTGTCAACTCATTATATTTTGGTACATATTTTCTATAAAAATTTACCAAACCTAAGAATGACTCCAACTCTTTATTTTTTGGTGAAGCAACTTTTAGAATTTTCTCTATTAGTACTTTATCTGAGAGATCCTTCCTTTGATATTGAGTAACCCAAAATGATATTTCATTACTGTTGGTTACACACTTTTTTTATTTATTGTCATACCAGCGTCTCTCAGCCGGTTCAGTATATTTTCAGTTTTTTTTTTAAATCATCTTCATTTAAATCTCCAACATATATCGTCTTGATAATAGATGGTATTTTCGACATTTCCTATTACTTTTTCAATAGCTTTTTTGAAAAATTGCACTTGTTGTTTTTATGCCATACGGCATTCTTTTCCACCTTAACAGGCCTATAGGTGTGTTTATAGTCGTCACTTCTTTAAAATTTTCATTTATCGGTATTTGGTGGTAAGCTGATTTTAGGTCTATCTTCGAAAATACTTTCATTCCAGCAAGTTTATGTAAAGCTACTTCCACATTCGGAATAGGGTACGAGTCAGCACAAACTTTATGGTTCAATATTTTTTATAATCTCCACAAATTCTCAGGTCACCATCTTTTTTTTTTCAATACCACAATGGTGATGCCCATTTACTTCCTCCTGGAGAGGCAGGTTCTAATAAGTCTTCCTTTATTAGCTTTTTAAAAACGGTTTTCCTATTTTTTCCCACAAATTTCTGGGTACTATCGTGACGTCACTACCTGTGTCGATTTGCATTTCGACAATACAGTCGTTGATTTTCACTTTTATTTTTGTATCTCCGTTCTTACATCCAGTATTTTGTATATTATCCTTTTTACATTAAAAAATCTGTCTATTTTCATCCTCTACTCTTTCCACATTTTTCGTTTTACATACTTCTTTTGAAGTGATTTTTTTTTTTAAACATTTTGAACACGTCTTTCCAAAGCCTGGGCATTTTTCTTTTTCATTTCATGAATTTTTTCCACAGTACGCACAATTTTTTTCTTTTGTTTGTACCGTATATGTTTCAGCCATTATTTCTTCGTAGGATTTATTTTTATTTTGGTTGTAGGTATGTATTAATTCCTGCTGTTGTATAAATTCTATACACATATTCAAAGGCATGTTTGTAAGTTGTAACTGTTCCATTAACTTATATCTATGTGCTGAATTAGGCATACCTTCAATTAATCTTAGTTGGATTAATTCTTCTTCCGTTGTCTGCTCTCCTGTTCCTAGTTTTTCGAATTCACAGTATTTACTCGCACTTCTTAACCGGTGTAAATATTTTACTATCGGTTCATCCACTTCCTGCTTCATTGCCATAAACTTGGTCCTTTCTGCAATCACCAGTTTTTTCTTTGGCCTCATGTTTCCCTTAATAACCTGACTTATTTCTTCAAAAGTCATTTCTTCTAGTTCTCGAGGGTAAACCATTGTAGCAACCTTCATAATCGCTTCACAACTAGCGGTAGCCATGAACAAGTCGGTGACTTCATTTTCCCCTCCTCTGTTTTTGTTGTCTTTCAACTTTTTACATCTAGCATTAGCAACAAAGCAACGAATCCACGTGTCTACGTACTCTGGGTCTTCAAGGACCAAAGAGTATCCTATCGGCGACGCCATTGTTGTGTCGTGTATCCTGCTAAGTAAGCCTTCTATACTAATTTGCATCTCACTACACATTTATTATAAGATTTCGAAATCCCAAATCTACATAATTAATTTATTAAGTAAAATTATGAAATCATATAGAATTATTCTCCAATTAATAATATAATAATAAAGAAACTACCTCTTTACTCCATAAAGTTTACTTAAGATTTTAGCTCTTTTTACCTAATCTACTTTGTTGGTTACTGATAATGTTAAGAATGGCGGATTTTAATTTTTAGGTAAGCCCCTTTCTAAAAATACTATGGGTTAAATAGTTTCAGCATTCTAGCTAAAGAAGAGATAATTAAAATAAATCAGAAAAGAATTACAAGTGGACAATATCATTGTTGAATTATACGACAAACGAGTTTCCTTTTCTGTATGCTTTCTGTCATATGTGCAACAAAAGAAATAAGGTAAACAGAAATAAAGAAGACCAACTAACTTTTATAGTAAACAAAAAAGGTTTTAATTTAATTTTAGTGATTTGATCAGTGGCTAAAAACGAAAAAAAAAAAACATAAAGGTTTACCAGCAAGAAGTTAGAAATAATTCGAAATTAGTTCAGTCGGAAGTTGTTTTTTTTTTCTTTTTTCCTGGTATAGTTTTTATGTCAGGTCACCGAATGGTTAGTAGACGGACTGCTCTAAAGCAGATTTCTGAAACAACTGACTTTGCCAGCCAACTCGCTTAATTTTGGCGTCAACCAATGAATACTAATACCCGAATGATCCCCCCACACACACACTTTGTAAGGTCCTCCGACCACATCATAGACATCAAAGAACTTATGGATGAATAGGTTGTTTAATAAAGTTGTGATGGTTCACTCACATCAATGCAGAAGAAATTTTCCTCGTGTTCATGAAGTAAAAAGCATGCTTGACAGGGAAATTAAACGAACGTACAGACATAA